CCCCCTGCTTCCAGCCTCATTCTGTTGCAGAAGGAGGAAGAAGCAGGAGGGTAAGTTGGCGTCCTCCCCCTCTGCCTGGCCGAGGCCACTCCACGTGGCCTCTGCAAGGACTCCCAGCCCCATCCAGGAGCTTCCCCGAGGTAGCTGTGTTAGTCTGTTGCTGCAAAATAGTCCAAGAGTTCAAATAGCACCTTTAAGACTAACAAATAGCACCTTTAAGACTAACCTTTAAGACTAAGACTAACTGAGTGGTGGGTGTGGCCTTATGACACACTTCCGGTGATGTCAGGGGGTGTGGCATATGCTAATGAGTTATGCTAATGAGTTCCCCTAGCTCTTTTTCTACGAAATGACCCCTGGTGCTTGCATATGAAGGCTGGAACAGCTTCATATGCTCACAGGACTTCTGGTGGGCAGACTTTTCACCCCAGCTCCTGACCGACCTGCCCATATCGGCTGAAGAATGTGGGACTACCTGTTCGCTCTTAGCAGCCAAGCAAGGATTCCGGAGGTTTCGTCCATATTGTGTAGTGGGTTGTCGCATGGACGAACGACAAACAACGACCTAGTGCATAGCACACTTTATTCAGAACACAACAAAGACAAGGAACAACGGCCGGCAGGCCAACTATATACACAACCAGGGGACACACCCCTGGGTCCCATTGGCGGGTTTGAATCTCCCGCCACGGTCCCATCGGTTCCCGCAGTGGAGGGACTAGGATCCTAGTCCCTATTGTTGTGCCGGACTCAAGCTCAGGAGTGTGCGCTGGCCTCTGGTGGCAGTCAGCGGACACAACAGTCCAGATTGACACAGAAGGAAGTTTTTGTTGTTTCGTTCTTTGTCTATTCTACATTCTTTCCTGGATTTGGGCTGATAATTACAGAAAGAAGTGGTTAGACTCTAGCTAGGGATGGCAGGAACAGTGGAGGTTGCTCGCATATCCTAGGCCTACGTAGGTGGCATCACTGAATGGCTGGCACTTCCCCAAGCCAGTCCTTCATGGGCATTTTTGGCAAAGGCAGCATCAGCCAAACCCTTAGTTGCATGACTGACATGTTGGTATAGGAATGAGGCCCAGTATCTCTTGGGAGAATTTTCTGCGCAGGCGGTGATAAACAAAGCTGGTGGCAGCAGCAGTTGAGTTTTGAACAAGGGGTCCAATCACACACA